CACGCGATCCTAGGGCGTCATCTAACTGACGCTAAAGGGCGCCTAAAGCGTCAGATATTGAAGCATGTCCAAATGCTTCCCAAGGCGTCAGTTAGGTGACGCCTTGGGAGTGAGAATGGGCTGTTATTTTAAACAACATGAATGACTTTTAGTGACTAATTTGCCTAATTTTTTGCCTAACAACTGAGCAATGATACAGTGACTACAATTGGGAATGCGGACCACGGAGTTCACCACTTTTTACATGGAAAAAAAAAGTACAGAGACCCACTTTAGAGATCTAAAGTGATGAAATCGCTGTCACTGCAAATAAAACAAAAGGATGGTTTACTTAAAATTAACATTTTGTCGTCATTTACTCACTCTGATGTTGTTCCAAACCCATGTCCAACAAGAAAAAAAGACGCCTTTGACTTTCAGTCCATGATTTTTTTGTTTCACATAAAGTCACACTGGTTTTGAAAGACATGAGTGCGAGTGATGACAGAACTTTCATTTTTGTGTGAACTATCCCTTTAATTGTCCACTTTCAAGACTTTTTATTCTAATTATTCGGCCATAACTGCAAAAAGCAATGGTACTGGTACTTGCTGTACTAATGGATGTAAGTACTCAGCATTATAGTTGACCTTTGACAATTGTGTCCAGAACCCAGCACTCATGTACAAAGACAGAAGATTTCAAATCCTGTACTTCAGGAGGTCATTCAGTTTGGACTTGGGTTCTGGGACCAGTGGGCGATTATCAATCAATCTATTCACTGGTGTGGTTTGGTGTCCGAAGTGGAGAGGAAAGTTCTGGTGCGTATTTTTTTTATTATTTGACATATTTTTGTCTCCAAATTACTGTGGAACAGATTCACTTCAAAAAAATGTGCTAAAGTGCACCACAGTGATTGTTTATGAATTGTCCCTTAGGTGATTTGAACCGACAGCCTTTTGGTTCCCAGCTCAGATGCTTAGCCATTACACTACACCTTCCAACTAAGCAAGAACTGTGGTGAAAAATGATTGATTAAACTATACAAAGTGAAACTCTTGGAGACAGCAGAGAACTAGGAGTAACACCAACCCAAATGTGAAAGAGCATCCAATAAGGTCAAATATAAAGAACCTGGATGATTCATTATGCAATCTGCTGAAAAATACAGCTAAATCCACTGTAAAGTAGTTTTATTCTAACTGGTCTAAACAAGTCTAAACATTCACATTCAAATATTAATTCCAAATAGTTAAAAAAAAATGCTACAATTCTTTTTGGATTGTTTCTGTTCAGCATCTCGCTGACAGAAAGACTGTTCTGTTGGAAACAAATTGTTAAGCCAAATTTCAAAGACTGATTAATTGTGAGGGGGAAAACAAAGAAAGAGACAGAAACAGGGATGAAGAAAAGACAACTCTTTTTTTTTTTTTTTTTGGACTGCAGTAGAGAGTGTGTTTTTACTGGAGATCAAAATCCTTACATGCTGCTTCAAGTCAACATGAAATCTAAATCGACCCTGTTTGCTTTAATACGCGTTCCCGGTCTTATGGGAATGATTCACTAGTTGCATGATTTTCCACACTCAAAGAAAAAAAAAACTTTTGTATGTAATTTTACACAAAAATGTTCTAATTTGCTCCACTTTAGAGATAACTTTTCTGTCAAAAGTTATATTCATATTATTATATGTACTGTACATAATGCTGAAAGACTTTAAGTAAATACCAGAGTGCACATATAATTCAACACCATAGTCTACTGTATATCAAAGTACCATAGTATTACCATCGAACACTATGGTACCACACCAGTACTTTTAACAAGGGCATTAATTATTTCTATCCATCTTCCTATTTCTTTCTCTCTCGCTCTCTCTCTCTCTGCATTGTTGATGGCCAGGATTTGGTTGGTTACTATAGAGACTGATGGGAGGAGGGGCAACCACATTTGGGTACAAGGGGACGGAATGAGTGGGAGCGAGGGAGAGAGAGAATATTATCATAATTGCATGTTCTGCTGATGGTGCTTAAGAAGTGAAGCCAACAGGGAAATGAAACACAGATCGTCGTTTGCCACGTGACCTCTCTGAGAATGAAAGAGTGATGGATATGAGAGAAAAATACTTTCTATGGGCCACAAACACCACAAAACAGCCTCTGAGTCAAATCACTTGGAGACAGAATTTGGTGAGAGAGAGAGAGAGAGAGAGAGAGAGAGAGAGAGAGAGAGAGAGAGAGAGAGAGAGAGAGAGAGCGGGAAGGTAATGGAAAAAAAGAAAGAAATCAAAATCTGGCATCTCAGACATCTCCTGGCTGTTAATGCAACAGCAATCCTCTATGCTGCCTTACATCGGTTAAGTCGTTTGTCATTGGTCGTTAAGGTGAGTTATCTTTTGAGGCATGAAATTGGAGCCAGACATACTTTCTCAAAGTAAACACTTCTCTCTGAGGGGCAACAGATTTGTTATAAATCTATTAGGCGTCAGTCAGTGCGGCCCAAAGGTAATTTCTTGTTAATGGAGGAGCTATGTGGGTGTGTTTGGCTTTTCCATCTGTACTTTCCTGAGTGATTATTTGCAATGATGTGTTTCTTTTTTTCTTGAGAGCTCACATGCACATACTAGACCCGCGCCAGATGGGACCCGAGTGTATAACCGGGTTTACCCTGCTGAAAAAAAACCCCACTTAAGTACATGTATGTGGGCCTAGTATGTGGATGGTTACTGCTTAGACTAGTCTTAAAAGTTAGTCATCTAATTTTTTCCTTCAAGACTAGTCCTAATTTCTTTAAAGACAGTTATATTGTCTAATCCATTTGGAATTAAAAATAATTACCGCTTGGTTACCAACAAGTTGGTCAAAATAGTTCTTAAGACACAGTCTTAACATAAAGTGGCTAAGTTTATGCAACTTGCCTCTGGTCTTCCAGCCTATTTCAAGCCCAAAACCCATCTAAAACAAGCAAACAGACCAGCATGACCAGGCAAATGGAGACGAGCAAAGACCTGCACATCTGAGGATATCTGAGGCTGGTTTAAAGGAGTAGTTCACTTTTAAAAAAACTTTTGCTGATAATTTACTCACCCCCATGTCATCCAAGATGTCCATGACTTTCTTTCTTCAGTTGAAAAGAAATTAAGGTTTTTGATGAAAACATTCCAGGATTTTTCTCCATATAATGCACTTTACTGGTAACCAAACGGTTCAAGGTCAAAAGACAGTTTCAGTGCAAACTGCAAACTGTTCAAAGGGCTTTAAACGATTCCAGACGATGAAAAAGGTACTTATCAGGCGAAACGATCGCTCATTTAAAAAAAAAAGAAAAAAGTTTATGTTTTATAAGCTCAAATGGTCGCCTTGCTCTGTTCTGTGATGCGCGTTCGTGACTCTCCTGTTCGAACTCGTTCATCAAAATGAACAAATCTTTTTACGTGTCATTTGGTTCATTCAACGAACGAAATGAACGAATTGACTCGGAAAAAGATTCGTTCATTTTTAAAAGTGAACTACTCCTTAAAGTTATTATGTTACGCAGGGTAAAGAAACATGTACATATTTAGTTCTAAATTAAAACGTAAGGTGTTGTGCACTCACATGCACACAGTCCACCTTACAGAGTCCTAACCAGACTCGAAGTAACAAGTTTCAGGTGCAAAGTAATTAATTTGTACACTCAAACTGTGAATGACTCACCTTTTGACCACATTGTTTCCACTCCAACACGTGAGCTCATCGACGCCCATCTCTGCTTCGCACAACGTCTCTGGAAGTATGCCGAAGAAGGACTTATAACGAGAGATGTAGGCCGTAAACTCCCTATAACACAAATCAACAAATAAACAACACATATAGATCACAAGCGATAAATACCATTATGAAAAAGGGTTTTTTAAAAGTTTTGAAAGACATTTTTTTTTTCGCAAACAGCTTTAAGAACCTGTTTTGAAGTATTTAATTATAAGATATTATATTATTCAAAGGTATAGTTCACACAAGAATGAAAATGCTGTCATTAATTACCTTCATGTCATTCCAAACCCTTTATTCATCTTAACACAAACGAAGAGGTTTTTTTCAGGTCCCATTGACAGCTATGCAACACCAACTTTGATGCTTCAAAAAGGTCATAAAGGTGTCATAAAAGAATGAATTGAGAGGTTTATTAAAAAAAAAAAAGTTCTGAAGAGGCACGATTGCTTCATATGAGGAACAGATTCAATTTAGGCTTTTATTCAGATATAAACATGCATCAACTCACACATCAGTTGTGGTAAACGGAAGTTCAATCATGCTTGCTTGACATGCGAGAACCAATGAGGTTCATTCTTGTATTTCGCAGAACGTTTGAGCTTCAGCATGAACGAAAGCCATATGGGTTTTTGAGCGACATGAGGGTGAGTAATAAATGACAGAATTTTCATTTTTGTGTGAACTAACTCTTTATGTCTATAAACAATAAAATAAAATAGACTTGGAGGATGGAGCATGGAAGTGGGTAGTTACAGGTCACATGCTTAGTAAGGAACCAATCAGGCATCCCAAATTTACAATTACAAAGGCTCTTTTCACACTTAAATTTGTTTGCTTGATCTGAACCCAAGTTCAATTCCATCCCTCTCCCATCAGCCCATGTTTTTAAACGTTTCTGTCATCCAGAGTCGATAACGAACATCAAATTCTGGTAAGATTAGTGGTTCACATGCAAAAATTAGGCCACACTGCAATTGTAACAAATGTGAATTATACTGGAGTCCACATGAACCACAGTCCAAAACATTTTTTTTTTGAGCAGACTTGGGTTCAACCATTCAGGTTTCACAACAAACAAACAAACCAAACTCTAATGACAAAGAGACTAGATCAGCACTAAAAGTACTAGTGTGAAAACACTAACTGGTAAGGCAATAAGTGTGTAGAAAAGAAGCGGAACTAACCTATATTGTTCAAGGTCAGCACACGCGCAGACACAAATTTTAAAGAAAGATAAATACAATTTTTAGTAAATGCATTCATGCTTACCGTGCAACATTTTTCAGAGTTCTACCTCCATCGCTCTTGGAGGTTTTCAGAGGGAGTGAACTGAGAACGGTCAAACCCCCAGTACAAAACAATGGAACAGTCCAGAGGAGGATGAGGCAAGCAGTTTGGAGGGGAGGACAGAAAGATGGAAGAAACCAAAGGGCAACAAAACAGGGGGAGGGGATGATGGTGAGAGAAAAATCATGAACATGGAGAAAATTAAAACCACTCATGCACATGCAAACCAGAACCTGGAAGATGGGTTATAACACACTAGCAATAAAACTCAACAACGACCACCAACTTAGATTCTGAAAGTACTTTTTACACACTCAGTTTCTCAATAGACATTTCAGAAAACTTTCAAGGATTAAAACCAAGCTCTGAGATTACAATGAAAAAAGGGGCATTTAACATTTTGAGGGAATTAAATGCAAGCACTGCAAATTATGAAATCGAATCAGTTGCTTTAAAGAGTCCCTATCATGCTTTTTCGAAAATTAACTTGCAGTGTGTAATATATGTAAAAGGTCTGCAAAGTTTTAAAGATCAAAGTGCACGAAAAATTAGGTTATTAAGGTTAGTGATGACGTAGTGATGTCTAGGCTCGCGACCGATTTCTGCTTTCTCGGACTTGTTCCTTTAAAGACTTGGTCTTGACTCGGTCTCGACCCCTTCAAAGACTTGGTCTTGACTCGGCTTCGGACCACAGTGGGAGGAGAAGGACTCGTGATTTTCAGACCGAGTTCTCGAGATTTTACAGCGCATATAAAATATAAATATTCATATAAAAAAACACATAACCAACAATAATAATAAATTGCAATGTTGACGGGCATTATTATTGCAATGCAAAGATACTGCCGTCAGAGCTATCAATGTCTTCAGTTGCTGCCTGGTGTGAGCAGCGGCAAGATGAGCAAAGAGTCTGCCATGATCAAATTCGCCTTTCAGAGCCACAAAACCGTTGGTGACCATACACCTTCATTATATGACTGACAGACAAGAACGTTTTGACCGAAAAATTTTAAAAATTGAAACTACTGAGGAAACAAAGACAGCTACATCTTGGATGCCCTTGAGGTAGCTAAAACATACCAAAAATGAAGTTCAAAGTGAACTATCCCTTTATTAAGACGTTAAGACGACTGCTCTAAACAATTCCCAATCTAGCTTAGTCTGTAGGCCTAACTGTTGATTAATAACTGAGGTGATATTAAATCATGAATATCAAAACTGATATGTCGGGACAAAATCTCAACTCAGACTTGCTTCCTCAAAGACTCGGTCTTGACTAAGACTGTATTTGAAAACCAGCGGACTCGGCCTCGACTCGGACTCGACCCTTTAAAGACTCGGTCTTGACTCGGACTCGGAATAGGCGGTCTCGTCCCCATCACTAATTAACGTAATACAAGTCTCTTAAAAGAAAGAATAGATTCTGAATTGATACAAGTCATCAGCAATTAGTCTTATGTCTGAAATATACCTAATGTTACATAACAATTTGAAAGGGACATATCATGAAAATCTGACAGTGCAATAATTGGGTCCCCTGTGCATCAACAACCCTGAAAACGTGAAAAAAGTGACAACATAGTCACTTTGTTTTGGTAAGCCTTTCTCTGCAAACATATCAAAAATCAAAACCCCTTCTGATGTAGGAAAGTGATATTACAACCGTCCCTTAATCTGGATGTTTCCACCCACAGCGCAGCCATTTTTCTCAAGTGACAACAGTGTCCAGTTCAAACACAATGGCAAAAGTTCCAACAAACTGTTCTGTCATTGCTGCACTGACGAACACAGAACACTATTTGACCAAAAATGTCACAGCTGTCTTATAAAGACCTCAAGGAACTGTCAACTTGACAGTCATTGTTGACAAAACATGACAGTCAGTAGTACATTGCAAGCAGAGCCGGACTTGAGTACAGTAATTAAGTACAATTTTGAGGGATCTGTACTTTACTCGAGTATCATTTTTGGGGAGCTCTCGTGACTTTACTCAAGTACATTTGAGAGGAAAATATTATACTCTTTACTCCACTACATTTCTATCCATAACCGTAGGTACCCTTTACTACTTCAAAAAAAAAATGGAAAAAATAAAAATCTTGGAAACCCTCAATTTGTTGTTTGCCTCTCAAACGTGATTGGATTGTCTAGGCGCCACTGATTGGGACAGCCTATCAGCAATCACCTTCAGCTTTCCCCCAAAGTCAACTCCATGGTCAGATTTAGATAAGAGACGAAACCATGGACGAAGACGCTGCAGGTCCATCCCGGGAATGTGCCGACCCGTGGCCCCACCTCGCCTGATTATTTCAAGTTTCTGAATTTTATGAAATTTTCTTAAATGTTAAATAAAGCAACATGGTAAATAAGATGAAAATTACTTGATTTTACTTTCAATTCCTTTTACATTCTCCAAGGTATTAACATTAACATTTTTCATAAGTCCATGTAGGATGTTTCTGTCCATAAATGTAAGCACTGTGGCAGTAGTAATGCAATATTTAGAAAATGTACTCTTGTACTCTTGATACTCAAGTACTTTTAAAAACGTCTCGGTTACGTATGTAACCCTCGTTCCCTGAGTAGGGAACGGAGACGTTACGTCAGAAGTGACGGAGATTGGGGGTTTCGCATAGAAAGCCAATCCTCTTCGAGTATTTAAACACGAGCCAATGGCATGCAATGCCTTGGGGCTGCGGAAATTTGCATAGCGTACTCCGCCCTACTCCGTGAGTATAAAAGGAGGAAGTGAACGCAACCGCAGTATGTCTTCGCTGAGGAGCCAAGACAGAACTCGGCATCTACCCAGCGATACAGCAGAAGTGGCAGGGAGACGTAACGTCTCCGTTCCCTACTCAGGGAACGAGGGTTACATACGTAACCGAGACGTTCCCTTTCGTAGTCACTTCGAGTTACGTCAGAAGTGACGGAGATTGGGGGTCTGTGCCATCACGCCAACTTCAGGCTGTCTTCCAGTGCCCTGCGAAAGTCTAAACCCCCGAGCCTTACCTGTTTTCCTTAGGGGATCCGACTTAGACACAGGATTACCAAGGTACACTGGGAAACATATCCCGAAGGGGACATGCTACCAGCTGCCTACCGAAGGGAGGACTTACGAATACACATATGGCCACATAGGAACACATATGGAATCACTGGAGCACCAACCGCAGGTGGCTACTAATTTCAGCTCCAGGGGTGGCAGATGGCTTGCCAAGGGAAGACACATGCTCAGAGAGGCTTACAGTGGATAATACACATGAGACGGTTACCAAGGGGGAACCGTACGCATGGAGGCACCTAGCCAGCATCCAGAGCCACAGCAGTGGTGCCCGCATCGTCGGTGCTGGAGGACTCAAGGCTTCAATGGAAGAACTGAGGAAATATCGCACTTATCCAGTCCGGGGAGTGGAGTGGCGAGCAAGCGAAGACACCTGAGCGGATCCAGAACTGGCCGAAACGAGTACGTGAGAGGATACCGGCTCAATTCGCAGATTATAGAATCTGGCGAAGGTGTTGGGTGTCGCCCAGCCTGCAGCTCTGCAGATGTCTGTTAGCGAGGCACCGTGCGCTAAAGCCCAAGAGGAGGCCACACTCCGAGTGGAATGGGCCGTCACACCAAGGGGGCACGGAAGGCCTTGCTGCTGGTAAGACAAAGCAATGGCATCCACAATCCAGTGGGACAGCCGTTGCTTTGAGAGAGCCCTTCCCTTCTGGCTCCCTCCATGACAGACAAAGAGCTGGTCTGAGGTCCTGAAACACTGCGTTCTGTCGACATAGGTGCGGAGAGCACGTACCGGACAGAGCAGTGCCAAGGCTGGGTCTGCCTCCTCCGGGGGCAGCGCTTGCAGGTTCACCACCTGGTCCCGGAAGGGAGTGGTGGGAACCTTGGGCACATATCCAGGCCGGGGTCTCAGGATCACGTGAGAGTAGCCGGCCCGAACTCCAGGCACGCTTCGTCAACGGAGAATGCGTGCAGGTCCCCCACCCTCTTGATGGAGGCCAATGCAACCAGGAGTGCTGTCTTCAAGGACAGAAACTTTAACTCTACCGATTGCAAAGGCTCAACGGATGCCTCTGCAGAGCACTTAAAACTACCGAGAGGTCCCAAGAGGGTACGAGGGGAGGACGAGGCGGATGCAGCCTCCTCGCTCCCCTCAGGAACCTGATGACCAGGTCGTGCTTCCCTAAGGACTTACCTTCTACTGCTTCATGAGAAGCGGCAATGGCCGCGACGTAAACCTTAAGGGTGGAGGGCGACAGCCTGCGCTCCAACCCTTCTTGCAGGAAGGAAAGCACGACACTGATCGAACATCTCCGGGGGTCTTCTCCGCGAGAAGAGCACCAATTGACGAAGAGGTTCCACTTCAACGCATAAAGGTGTCTCGTGGACGACGCTCTTGCGGAAGTGATGGTTGCCGCCACCGCAGGTGGCAGCGAACTCAAACCTGCCTCGTGCCGTCCAGGAGCCACACGTGCAGCCTCCAAGATCGGGACGAGGGTGCCACAGAGTGCCCCGTCTCTGAGAGAGTATCTTGTCTCAGAGGAATAGGCCAAGGAGGTGCTGTCGCGAGGAGCAAGAGATCGGAGAACCACGTCTTGGTGGGCCAGTAGGGGCTACCAGCAAGACCTGCTCCTCGTCCTCCTTGATCTTGCACAACACCCGTGCAAGGAGGCTCACTGGGGGAAACGCATACTTGCGTGGGCCCCGTGGCCAGCTGTGCGCCAGCGCATCCGAGCCGAGAGTGCCGCGGGTCAGAGAATAAAACTGGGCGCAGTGGGACGAGTCCCGAGAGGCGAACAGGTCTATCTGTGCCTCCCCGAACTCGTCCCAATCAGCTGGACCGACTGGGGATGGAGTCGCCATTCGCCGGAGAGGGGACGGACCCGGGACAGCTCGTCGGCTGCCCAGTTCCGGTCTCCAGGAATGTAACTGCACGAAGGGACCTCAGGTGCTTCTGACTCCATATCAAGAGGTGGCGGGCGAGCTGCGACAACTGGCGTGAGCGTAGACCCCCCTGGTGGTTGATGTACGCTACTGC